AAGTAAACAGCTGTACACTTACCTGTGTAACTATCAATTATACAAAACACAGGGATGTGTTTTGGTAGCATAGCTATCTTCCAGTATTAAATACGGTTTGTTTGAATCTGCTGAAAAATTTTTAGAGTGCACTCTTTGCCAGCGCCTTAAAGTGTTGTCTTAGATAGTGCTCAAGTCTGTCTATGGGTCAACAACTGGATGCTCTGTGGCTGCTGCTTCACCTTGGCAATAATTGAAAAATTTAGTAGTATTTGCATAGTAAGAGCTGCAGGTTGTATCCATTTTCCTGTTGAGATCTGTGAAAATTGTCAAAAGAGCCAGTGAAAGTTTGTAGTACAGCATTATGTACATGATAAGGAAGAAAGATTATAGACCCTTCCTTATAACTCATCAAAATGACAAGTGAAATCTTGTGTGAGGGCTACCTGGCTGTGTTTATAAGCATAAATAAAAAAAAAAAAAAGGTGGAACAGATGCTTGGAAGGACACTTGTTGCAGAATATTAACTTCATTTTGCCTGAGTCCTGTCCACCAAGTGTGTAAGATGTTCAGTATATTGAATTTTATTTTTAAGTTACAGAACAAATGAGTTCCCTTTTTGTAGTCAGTGGAATGCCTGACCTTGCTAATTTAAAAATATTCGTGCTTAAAGAAAGCTGTAAGCAATAGGTAAATAATACAGATGATTTTAGTATTTTTTTGAAAGTTATCTTCACAATGAATAAATAATTTTCAGTGGAGTGGGTTGAGTATATGGGACTGAAGTCTATGTCTACATCTTGTTTTTTTCCTGAGCAAGACTGATTAACATCTATTAATACCTTATATGTGATTTTGACAGTTCCTACTGTGGTACTTCCTACCTTACTTCTAACACTAATCAGTCTAAACTGATTTTACTGGAGTCATTTTTGATGTGAAGGTAATACGTGTTCAATTAGTTTTGAATTGCTTAAATAAAAAAGCTCATTCAAAATATTTGTCCTATTGGTGACTGAAATGTATTTTCAGATCAGTGCAGACAGTAGTACTTAGACTGTAAAATAGAACTTATGAAGCCTGTGAATGCAATTTAAATAAAGATTGGTTTGAGTCCTTCAACAGGGTTATTATTATTAATTTGAGTATTCTGAATGCTTTAGACATCATTCTAGCATGAACCGCTTATTTTATTGTAAATTGAAATTAGATTCATTGTCAGTTGCTTTTACAAAATTAAGGTGGCATGTGAAAGACAGTTATTCTGAATTCAGAATTAACTATTGTAATAATGCACATTAGTTGAAACAAATTACTGTGGTTTTTTTTATGCACAATTCACACTCTTAATGCATTACTTTCATTACTTTCTATGCCAGTTCAGAATTAGGACTTATTATGGATGCAGAACTTATGATTTTTAAAAAAAGTTTTTAAAGGATTAAAATGTTGGCTGAGGAGGGTAGGTGAGGTTTTCTGAGGTTCTTAAAGGAATGGGGTTGTATACAGTGCTACAGCAGCATTAAAAATGGAAAATTCTGTTGCATATTTCATTTGTGTTTTAAACCCATTCAGGATGAGTCTAAATGTCGCCATTTATTTAGTTTCCGTATTTTAAATTTTTTGAGGCTATTTTTGTTTGCTTGATTACTTCAGTTCTCTAATTTGCCTTTTTTTTTTTTTTTAGGAGATACACTAATTAATATTTACTTTGGAAATATCTTGGGGGGTGGAAAAGGGATATTTGTCTAAGCGTTTACTCATCGCAGAAAGTGTTTCATTACTCTATTTGATCATGTGTTTTTTCTGGGGAATTGGGATGCTACATACAGTTGAAATTGGGGAATTCTGTATTTTTTTTGAGAATGTCTACACAGAGAAATTGCTTTGAAGCAAACTAGACTTTGCTGGACATGTTTGTTTTAAGATACTGAAAAGTAGGAGGCTAAGGTTATCTCTTCTGTTTAGTGCAGAAATTGGAAGGGTTGTCCAGCTTCATGCTGATCAAGAGGACAGGGGAGTGAGTAGTAGGTCTCTTAGAGGCTGTTGTAAGGAAATCCGTGGGGTTTATTTCAGCAAGCCTTTTGAAATGCATTAAAGCCTTAGTGTGGTGGTTCTAGTTCAAGTTCATGCTGTGCAGTACTGTTTTCAGCTCAAAAGATGAAAAATATTTGTCGGAAAGGTCCTGATTCAAAGAACTTTTAATCATCCCCTAGTGGGACAGGGAATAAAGGAGTCCAGAGCAAGAGATGTATAACCTGCAGCATAATCAAGGCCATTTTTACTACAACAATAATGAGATTAAGCTCTCATCAATTTAATCAAAATTAGAACTATAATTGGGTTCACCATCACGTGTTACTGCACTTTGGATGTACAGGACTCATGGAAGGACTGGGGACATTAAGTTGGCATGTGGCACAGCAGATTGCCTATGACTTGGCTTCATTGGTAAAGTTATAATTGTAATTTATTTTTTTGTTTTTAGAATAGGTGTTCTTAAAACGTGCCTTCTGAGATAAAGTATGGGTTTTGCCACAGTGAAAATTTTCAAACAGACTGTATGGAATGCTGTTATTGTTATATGCTAATATTTTTGTCCATTAAGGAAAAATGATTTTTTTTTTTCTGAAATTCTGTTACAACTGACTTGGAGTCCCCCTTTTCCTCTGGAAGCATGTCTCTTACCAAATGTGTTCCTTATGAATGTGAGTGTGTTCCTTAAAGGGGGCCTTTGTAAAATTTGAACTGTTTTTTGTAGTACCATGATTGTGGGTTTTTTTCTGTTATGAAACCAAAAGGAATCATGCTGCCATAGGAGATGGCAGTCCAGCTCAGTGTGCTGTCTCCAGCAATGGTCAAAAGCAGTGATTTTTCATTAACTAAAAGGACAGGGGGAAATATGTAAAGATACTTAGCTTTCAGTTTGACTTGAGAGTTTTCTGAATTGAGGATGGTGTGATTTTTCTAAGTCAACTGTGAAGTCTTGAGCATTCATTGACAAGTACGATTGCTGTTGGGCTATGCTTCAGTAGTTGTATAACATGCTTGATTGAATCAGTCTAAATTTTGATGTTTCCTTTCCTTAGATACAAGGCAATAAAATTGCCCAAATAAAACCAGATTATTGCTTCTATTGTATAATTTTAGTAATTTTCAAAACCACTTGATTTGGGAATATTTTTAAAGGATAATGTAATTCTTAGAGTATCTTCACTTTCAAAATGAATATGGAAACTACTTCTAGTGCAGTTGCAGTGCAGTTCCATCAGTGCCCTGTTCTCTGAATGACAATCCTTTGAATATCCCAGAATGAGTCTTGCATTTTTTTACTTGCTCTTCCACCTCAAGTAGGAAAAAGTGAATATGAAATTATTTGGATATAATGGAGTGTTTGATAAGACATCTAAATCTAAGCAAACAGAGTAGAAAGTTTTTTAAGGATTTGAAGGCAAATTGACTTGATTTTTGTTTCTCATGATCTTGTGTTAAGGAAATACTGCCTTAATGACAAATGCAGTAAAAATTTCTGTTTACTTTGAGTTTGAAATTTGATCTTATATTTATTATACTAATTTACTACATACAAATAGGGCATCACATTGCTCAGTATTAAACACAAGTATTTATATTGGCTTAGCAGAGGGAACTGGAATCCTGGATTTTTCTGCCTCAGGAAGATTAATTCTAACTGAAGAATAACGTGAAACAATTCTACCTAGTCATTATCTGATGTATCTACCACTGTTATTTGGTGAATTAACTGAGGACTAATCATTGCTTAGGTCTCTGCTATGATTAAATGTAAAGAAAAAAAATACATGCAGTTAATACTGCATGCAGTTAAATTCCTGTTGCATTAGCTGCATCCTTGGTCTGAGAACATGAGATTCTAATCTCTAGCATTATGGGAAGCTTTAATCACATGTTTATTTACTGTTTGTTATCTAGGAAATGGCATTGCTTCATATAGCTAAGCAGTGCAGAATGTAATCTAAGGATTAAGAAAAGGCAAATCTTCCTATCCATTTGACCTTGAAAATCTGATTGGATTTCCTGTGTGATCTGGCATGATTTTTCCCTAATTATCTAAAGCTTGATGTATGTGAATGGTATTGCACGAGCTGTGCAGATATGGATAGAATTCTAATGCTTAGCTGAATATCCCATTCATCTGAGATTTCAAGTGCAAAGAAATAAAAGCAGAATGTGAGATAAAATGTGATCAGTGGACTGTACTTTGTTCATGAAAAAACTATAGTCTTACTGTAGCAGTGAACAGGCAGAAAGTCTTGGATCAGTTTGATTAACTTTAGACCATAACAGGAAAAAAATTATTAAATCTTGCTTTGTAAGCTGGTGGCAATGGCAATTGCTATGGCAATGGGCTGTGTCTGTTAGTAAAGTAATTTGTCTTAAAACAAATGGAAAAATGGTGATCCATTTTGCTGAGAGCTGATTTGCAGCCTCTTAATGGGTTTCAGTAGCTTCTTCAAGCAAAAAGAAAGTTGTTTTAACAGTGTAAGTAAAAGAATAAAGTGGTTTTTTTTTTCTAAAAATGGTCAATAAAGTGTGTAGATGTTTGGGTTATGAAAACTGATCTTCAGAATAAGGTATTTCTTGAAATAATTTAGCGACCTAAAGTTCAGTATTTACTAGAACAAGAAGAGAATGGTCTTTCAAATTTTTTTATTAGCTGAATCAAAGCACTCCCAAATTATGAGTGTATTTAGCACTGTTGCATTCAAGTCCTTCAAATACCAAATTCAAATAACTTCTGTAAGATAAAGTATTTGGGAAATACAGTTAGCAGTGATCTCTTAGGGAATTTATGCTATTGGCTCAGCTGAAGAATGTTACTGAGGTAGAACTCTGCTTAACTCTTCAAACACATTTTAAGTGCATCTGAGGTGTCTGAATGTTCCCAAAATGACTCATTTCCAGGTATAAAATTTCTTGGCAATTTCTAAGAAGTTCCTTAAACCACAGTTGATTCATAAACTTGTGGTTCTCATTTTCAGGTGGGCTGGGAGATTGCAGTGTATGTCACGCTGTGCATTTGGGCATAACAGCATATGACTCAACAGGGAAAAAACATTTTGTAGCTTTACCAGTTCACAAAAACTCGGTGGGCTTTGATGTTGAAGGTACTTTTATTTTGTTATTTTAGATTCTTCAGAAAAAAGTCCTTTAATATAATAATAATTATAATGACTGAAAACTCATAAAGGTCTTGTGTCAGGCAGATATCAGCTGAACTGCCTGGGAGTTTTGGTGCACTGCTCTGTTACAAAAAAAAATACAGCACAGTGCATTAATTGAATTTAAATATTGAATGGAGTTTAACTGTGCTTTTCTGGCTTTGAACAAATTTTAGTCCTAACATTTAAATTCAATACTAAATCAGATCATATAAAATTTTGTAGCAACTGCATTTACTTCACTCATAAGAAATAGATGTATTTTTATTACAGTTTTAATATTCAGCATTTCTTGGTGTAAAATATTGCCAAAGAACAGCAAATTTCTGGTCAGTTTGAAGCTTTGCGTGTTTATATTAATGGTGTAGTACCAATAGCAACCTTAAAAATTATTGTTATGTCTTTACTTGTAAAACATAAAACCTCTAAGTATCCAATCTTGTTTTTCAAGAGAAATCAAAGAGCTTTGTCACTACTGCCCTTTATATATGAGGAAAGAGGGGTGTTAGATGAATATTTGAATATTATTTGGATGCTGTGATGGTAACATGCTTTTACATCTGAATGTGATATTTGGAAATTTTGACTTCTAAAAGATACCAGTCACCTGATTTCTGAGTGGAAACATCACACCCTATAAAATTTTGGTCTTAATTTCACCTGGAAATTAATTCCAAATTAAACCGATGTAACTTTACATCTGTTTAATTGCCTGTAATTGCCTAGTCCATAATGTGGTATATCCAGATTTCCATTTTTACATGGGTTTCGACTATTGAAATTTTTTTCAGTTGTTGTTAGCTGGTGGAATAATGATGCTGGAGGATATTTTTTCTGAGCATGGTGAAACAAAGGGCATTCTGGAGCAGGGTTGCTTTGGTAGGGCTCCTCCAGAATATTAATGTTGCTGGAATCCATAGGAATCAAACACTTCCTACAGACTTGACAAGAAATTTTGAAAGTGTAGCAAGGGAAGGCTTTTTCTTCAGAAAGCCTTCAGATGGTCTGAGGCTGCTTTGACTTTCTTAGTTTTCAGCCACTGAACAGTAACTTGGATAAATGATATTTGTTTTCTCTTCTGTGCTACTGAAGTGAAACCTTGAATGGAAGACTGGAGTTTGTTATTCAGACAGATGTTTCTGTAGTGGTAAATGGGACGTAATTTCAAATTAGATTATGTTTGAAAGTGTCCTAAGGGCTGGTTTCTCCTATATTTTTGATCAGTTTCTTTGCATTCAGATTTTTATTACAATCTCTTGGCATAATATCACTTTCCCATTAAAAAAGCTGCAAGGTCTTGATGAATGTCCTTAACTTCTGGTCAAGTAGAATAGAAAAGTGTTTCTTCTTGTGAAAAATTAACAAGACGTATGGAAGTGTTTGTGGAGGACAAGTGCTAGATTCCCTTAGAAGAACTTCTATGGCACTTCTGAAATGGATTGGATTTTGGTGTGTGCTAACATGTTTACCACTGGAGTCCCCCGCATGATGGACCCAATCCAGCAAATAACTCAAGCAGTGTTTCACTTTGTCTCCCTGTATGCTTCTCATTAATCATCTTTAATGAAATGAAATCTGCAAGTTTTCATTAGCACACTGGAGAGTCAACATTTAAAGAAAATTATAATCAAGACTCGCATTTGTATGTATCTCTGGAACGAGTAGAGTCATGCAAGCCAGGGTTTGAACTTCTAAATTCCATTCCTAATAATGTCATTGTTGGTAGAACACTAATCTCCGATTTTGGGGTATGAGCTGTTTGCCTCAATTACGTTCCTGAAATTCTGAAACATTAACTTGACATTTGCTCCTACATACACAGTAGGAGGCCACCATTAAAACTGCATACTTTATTTACAGAGGTGGAATAAAATTGTAGAGTATTAAACTATGTTGTGTGGTTTTTAATTTAAACATGCTCAAAGGTATCTAGGAATAGTTTTCACTACTTGAGCCATATAAAAAATGTATCCTAAGTGTTAAGTGAGTACCATGTTTGCAATGCTAATTCAAGGTGCTGATACAAAACATGAATATAAAAAAAACAACGAAACATGCTTTACCCTGTTGGCCTTGTATAACCAATTATATGTATTAATTATACAGTATGTCATATGTATGCCATACAGGATTAGCTTTGAAATTTATACTGACTTTGAAGATTCTCAGCTTTTAGATTGTTGTATTGAACTAACAAAGTACCTTTTTTCTTTAACAGAAATTGAAAAATTCCAAAAAGGGGAAGGAAAGGAAGAAGAAAAGTATATTGATGTAGTCATCAATAAGAATATGAAGTTGGGACAAAAAGTTCTGATCCCAGTAAAACAATTCCCTAAGGTAAGCCAAATTTTCGTATTTGATAAAGTTAGATTCTCATAAAAGATATTTCACTAGTATCTTAATTATTTGTTTTAATATTTATCATTACCAATCACTTTTCATGCTGTTCTGCAATGTGTTCTGTAGGAGCTCTAAGGTAGAACTGATTCTTTTTGGAACAAATGTGCAGGAAAGTGGTGCTGCTCACACCAAATAGAGCAAATAATTTAATCATATTTTTGGGGTAGAAGGATCCTCCTCTTCAGAATATCAAAAGGAAAAACAAATGTTGAAGTTGAATCTTATGCCAGGCTTTGAAACTTTCTTATTGTATCTGGAAGAGCAGCTTAAAATGCACCATAAGGAACTAATTGTGTAAATTTTCTTCTCATCCTCTTATGTTTCAGCCATTGTTAGTCTTGAATGAGTTATAGCTTGACTGCTAAATTATGCAGTCTGTTCTGGAGGGGTAGAGACTGTTTCATTAATATCTTTGCCCACCATGAATTCTTAACACATCTTTACTGCCAAGTATTATCCTGCACTAAAATATTGCTGCCTGGAAGCATTTATACAACATTCAGTAGGCTGTGGAACTTTATTATTTTTGTGCTGCTTAAAATTTTAAGGTTAATGTTATGACAATCAGATTAGCATTTTTTTAATTTGTTTGAAATGACTTTTTCTTCCTATTAGAAATTTCAAGACTTTCTATTCATGGAGAAAAAAAATCACTATTCCTTCCTCCTTCTGTTTAGGAAAACTTTTTATAATTGTTTTTTTTTCTGCACAGTGTCAGTGTTTTTCTCACAGGCCTGTGCTGGGTAACTTGCAGGGATTTCTTTGCTGCTGTTCAAAGTTTCATGAAATACTTCTTGAGTGAGTGCAAGGCTGCACATCATGTGAGCACCTTTTGGAACTCTGACTTAAGTCATCTTTATGACTAACTAGAGCTATGTACAAGCCTACAGAAACATAAAGATTGGAAGGTAAAATATAGGGGGCAGCTTACTCCATGGCCATTGTTTGTGARCAGGATGTTTTTCTTCTAAATGTTGAGATGGAGATACTTGAGCTCAGTGGAAAGAAAGGCAATGTGGCTATTAAAAAGGGAAATGCTGTGTTCTGAAAGATACTTCTGCTTCTTTATCTGGTGTCAGCTTTCTTTATAGGACTAAWCACTGAAATTAGGATAGCTGGTAGGAAATCCCTTGCCATGTTTGGAATGGCTAGAGATGCTCTGCTTTTTGATCAGTACTTCTGGCTTGTAGAGACACTGAACTGGAATAAAATGTGGTGTGTGCTATGTAAAGAAACCTGAACTTATGTCCAGGCAGATCCAAGGATGCAAAATAAACCTACTGTGCAGAACAGACAGGTCATGTGAATTCCTGCATATCCACTAGGACTGCTCCACAGAAAACAAAATACTGGTATCTGTGTTCACATAAATCTCTCTCCTGCCAGAGTGAATAAAATCCTAGACTCTTAATATTTAAGAATACTTTTATTCCAATGTTTGGGGTCTCAACATCTGTTAGAAATTTCCGTTTTATTACATATAGGTGGATATTTGTTAAAGGTTGCTYATKAAAGACTCTGTAGAGTCAAAAGGARCTAAAATTTCYTGCTGTRTCAGAGYAGTCTGGGAGGTGAGTATCAATTCAGAATTATGATAGTACTCTTGATTTTCTCTGAAAATCTCCTGCCTCGAACCACAAACAGTCACTGCAGTTTGCTATCACCTGGTTATTAGAACCAGGCTCATGGTTTTATTTTTGAGATTTAATAAATTATGATACCTTTTATGAAGTAACATGGCAAACAACCTTATCCTGGCGTACTGTAGTCTGCCATTAGTGACATGAGCTTTAAGTGCCTGCGCATGGGAGAACAAAGTCTTTTTGCATCATAATTTTGGAAGTGCTAATCCTGTTTCTATTTCACATGTTCAAATGAGGGTTCAGAAGTTAGGGATGCTTTATCGAGATTTGTAGGGTGGATGTGGAGGTGTCACARTCATCTTGGTTTCCTGAGGTGTATGTAGAGTGCCTCTGTTGTGTATTTGGCCACGTTGTCTGACTGGTGACAGCCAAGATGTCTTCACTAAGGGCAAGTCATGCCTGACTAAAGTGGTGGACTCCTGTGACAGGGCTACAGTGTTGGTGGATAAGGGAAGAGCAGCTGACATCATCGACCTGGACCTGTGCAAAGCATTTGACACTGTCCTGTGTGTCACTCATGTCTCTAAACTGGAGAGACATGGACTTGATGGAAGGACCCCTTGGTGAGTAAGGAATTGGCTGATGGTTGCACCCAACAAGTTATGGTCAACAGCTCAGTATCCAAGTGGTGACCAGTGACAAGTGCTGTTCCTTGGGGGCTGGTACGGGACCAGCACTGTTTGACATCTTTATTGGTGACATGGACAGTGACATGAGGGCACCCTCAGCAAGGGTTCACTGACACCCAGCTGGGTGGTGCTGTTGGCACATGCTGGAGGGAAGGGGTGGCATCCAGAGGGACCTTGAGAGATTGGAGAGGTGGGGCAGTGTGAACCTCATGGGGTTCAGCAGGGCCAAGTGCAAAGGGATCCTGTGGGTTGGGACAATCCCAGGCACAATCACAAGCTGGGCAGAGAATGGATCAAGAGCAGCCCTGAGAAGATGACTTGGGGTGTTGACAAGAAGTCAACATAACCCAGCAATGTGCTCTGGCAGCCCAGAAACCAAATGTGTCCTGAGCTGCATCCAGAGCCCTTTGGGCAGCAGGGGAGGGAGGGGATTCTGCCCCTCTGCTCTTGTGAGACCCCACCTGCAGTGCTGCATCCMRCTCTGGGRTCCYCARCACAAGGACATGGACCTGTTGGAACGAGTCTAGAGGAGGCCATGGCAATAACTGAGGCTGGAGCATCTGCTGAGGAAACGGGGAAGATGGAATGAGAGAGTTGGAGAAGGATTCAGGGAGAATGTAAAGCACTTCCAGTACCTTAAGGGGAGCTTATGAGAGAGCTGGAAAGAGACTTTTTACAAGGGCATGATGTGATTGGACAAGATAGGATGGCTTTAAATCAAAAGAGGAAGAGGAGTTAGATAGCAGGAAGAAATGCTTTATTAAAAGAGCAGTAAGGCATCTGGCACAGTTACCCAGAGAAGATGTGGATGCTCCATCTCTGGAAATGTTCAGGGCCAGCTTGGATGGGGATGTGAGCAATCTGATCTAGTGGAAGATGTCCCTGCTCATCACAGGGAGGTTGAAACTGGATGATCTTTAAGGTCCTTTAAGGTGCCTTCCATCCTATAATTTTCAGTGATTCTCTTCTGTGGAACTTACCAAAAAATATTTTAGTGCTCATAAAAACATGAAATGGTGTTCCACATAAATGCTTTGTGAATCTGTGCTGCTCTTCTCTTTGCGTTTGTGTGCAGTTTTCCAGACCATTTTACCTGCAGTAGGTGTTGTGTTGCCACAAATGTGGCGTTGGTAGAAAGTACGAAAGAGTAGTTCGTCAGAAAAATGAGTAAAAGAGTTGTTCCTAATTTTTGGGTTTTTTTTCCTATTGATCAGGATTGGTGACAAATGCTTCAGAAGAATGAAATTTCAGACTTAAATGTGGATGACATCTGTGCAAAAAATGTTCAGTGTGTCAGTAGTGAATTTAGAGTTCTAGCAAGCTGGCATGTTTGCCTGCAGTTCACATTCACGCTGTTCTTATTTTGCAAGATCCTGACAAAAACAGCTCTGTTTTTTCAGAAGAGGTAGTCTTTATGGATTTAGTGATCTGAAAATCTGCTGTTTGAAGCTGGCAAAATCATTGCAGTAATTGATAAATCTCTCAAACAAGCATTGGGTTACCAGTTTGGGTTTAATCTAGGTAATTTTGGTAATCAGGTAATAGTGAGAAAAACAAAGTTTGCTTTGATTTCATTAACACAGTAGTCCCCTAAATAAATGATCCTGCTTTTAAACGGAATCAAAACGCCCCCAAGTTATTGAAATTGTAAAATCTTTAACAGGGTTAGATATTTGAAAATGWAACTAACCACMWATTTAAGTGATTTTGCCAGTAGAAWCTATTCCTKTGTTTATATTTGCCWGTGATKACTCTGGGAAGGAAATATACCTCTGCTGTCTGGGTATATTAATATTTCATTATTCCTATCTTATATTTTTTTGTTATAAAAGACATCTGTGAACCAAAACAGCTCATCAGTGCCCTGCCCCCATTCAGACAGCTTGCTAGACCCGAAATGTATATTACATTGCCTTTTCCTTCCTTAAAACTTTTCTCTAAGCCTGACTCCTTGAATAAATCATAATAGCCTCAGCACAGGTCAGGCTCTGATCAGATCAGCCTGGCATGGTAATGCTTGCTCACATTTCCTGTCCTGTCAGACACATTCTCATGAGCCCACAGCTGGGTCCTGTGCAATTACCTCTGACAGCCCTGGAAGGTGACAGGTTAAGTGCAGCAGAAGCTCTTCAACTGAAGTGCAGAGCAGCTGGGTTTCTGTTGGAAAAGAATCTGGTAGACATCACGTACAGAAGTGTGTATTGCACTTTTCTGGGCATCATTGCTCACCCTGAAAAAGTCTTATGAGTTTCTGGTCTTTTGCTTATTGGCCAAATAGCTGAGTGATCCTGGTGATGTGCTTAACTGGCCTCCTACCTAAGAGCYCTTGGTTTCTTCTGTGATACTCTATATCCTTTAAACTTATGTCTTGCTCTGCCTTGGCAGTGTTAGTTAACAGCTTAATCTCATGCAACAGATAGTTGGTCTAAATAGTTGTTATTTTTCATCTCTGGACCATTCCATTAGAAGGTAATGGAATAACTAAGACAACCTGAATTTTGTCTGTGCTGTGAAATAATTCAAGATAGTTAGTTCTCGGAGTTATATTCAGTTTCCCCTTAAGGCTGTTTGTGCATTGGAATACATTTCTTTGTGTTATTTACAGACTCCTTTAAAAAGAGCCCCTGAATGAGTATGTCATGATAATGTGACAGTCTCAAAAACC